TATGAGGTGGATTGATTCAGTGACTGGGGTAATCGGGATGGGTGTGTCAGAGGCAGTGAATTTGGCACAGGATAGAGCCGGGTTTAGGGCTGTTGTACATAGGGTTGCTATGAGTCACAAACAATTCGATGACACATAACAACAACAACAACAACCACTTAGTCCATTTGCTTCCTGTACATTCCATTTGATGAGTTTCACATGTATAACCAATATTTATGTTGATGAAAAGGGTATTTACAAATGAAAAGTCAATGGCCTTTAAAAATTCTATCATACAATCTGCAGCATCATTTCTGTCAAGGGCACATTGTTAAACTACCTTTTCTAACTATCAACTCTTTGTTTTCAACTTTTATATTTCAATCACTAGTAATTATTAATGCAAAATGTTGCATGCTTGATCAATTTCAGACTGAAGAAGCTGGTAAAAATTCAGTTTCTTCAACTTTAGCATTAATCTTTTGTGTGAAAATGTAAATAATAGTTGTATTCACTGGTCTTCCTTGTATGCATATGGAGATTGTCTTATCCCTGGCAGTGGTGAACTTCAGGCTAGATCTTGAAATGTTATTTTTTATGATGAATGTGGCACTATTTCTCTTTAATTGTTCATTCCATGTGTAGTAGACCATATGTTTTTCTGATTCAAAATAGGCAATTCTAGTTAATTTCTGTTCACTAATATCTAGGATAATTATTTTAATGTCTTCCATAAAAATGTAGTGTCAACAAAGTAATCTTAAATGACTTCTGATTTTCCAAGATTCATACTTTCTACATTACACATTTCTGTTATTAATGGATGCTTACATTCTTTTTTTTTCTTGTTTTATGTAATGCTACATCAGAAAAGCTGAGAGTTTTACTCCATCCACATCATTAAGATTGACTCTACTTTGAGGAAGTTGTATATCAGATGCCTTCAAACCAGAATGGCTCATCATCCAGCACTTATATAACATTCTGCTGCTGGCATAGAGCTGCAGTGGCTGATTTTTTTCTTCATAAGTAGACCACCCTGTGTTCCCTCATAGTCTAGCTTCATCTGAACACTCCACTGAAGCCTGTCCACCATGGATAATCCAGCTATTATTTGAAAAACCTGAAGCACACCTTCCAGAATCACAGCAACATGCAAAGCCATCACATTTTAACAAGCTGACAGGCAAAATAGTAAACTGTCACATAGGCTCTTGCTTTCAGATACATGAGGGAAAAGGAAAGCCAGAGTGTTCCCAAAGGTACCTTGGGAGTTAGTCTTGTTCTCAGCTGAAAAATCATAAACTATTGTCTTAGACTTTGAAATTTTGGAGAAATGTGACCTTTGTTGATGGTGTACTGTCAACATGTATCTATAAGAGAACTTGTCTCTAAGAGCAGAAAAAAATGGCACTGTTCAGGCTTGTGTCTCTGGATCTCTCCAGACTGAATCATAGACAACCAAAGGTTTCTTTCTTTTGCTGATTTGTTATGGTTTTGTTCATTTCTTTGTTTATCCTTTTTGTCATCTCTCCCCTCATGTAACTATCTAAAATTTATTCATTGCTTTTCTCCTCCTGATCTGTGCCTTCAGAGATGGGGAACTTGACCTCAGAAGGCTATAGATTTGTTCCTTTGCCCACCGGCTTCTGGTTGGGGTTCAACCAATATAATGAGATTAGAAAATGAGAAGAGAGGAACATCACAACATTTACCCCTCAGATTGTGCCTCATCATGGATCTGGCAGTGCTTGACTTCTTGACAGTCCCAGCTCCTGCTGAGTGTTCCCTTCTCAAGGCTCTCGTTTCCCCTGGCTGCAGTAACAATATTACCTCTATTTCCTCTCTAGAAGAGATTGTGGTCTCATGCTATCGCTGTATTCTGGATGCTCATTATTCCTTGTTAGTTCCTTAAACACTCTTTAAACTGTCTCTTCAGTGAATTCTGTTTTAAAACTTCTCCTGCTAAACCTATGTGGGAGTCTGTACCTCCTGATTTCTGCTGGGACCTTGACTGATGGTTGCTCCCACTGAATCACATCTAACTCAGTGTTGTTCTATAATGACCTCTAGATTGATACTTTCAGGTTTCACATTTTAAAATAGTAGTTAGGGGCTTATCTAGCACATCTAGGAAGTCTGAAAAACATGCACAGACTCACAAATAACCTTCTTCAGTATCCTCCTCATTCTCTGTATGCCATTCACATGTATTCTAAAATGAGATTCCTAATCACTACATGTTGAGTTTCCTGCTAGCTGTGGCTCACCATTTGTTTCTGGTTTATGTTAAAGTGTAGGAAAAACCCATAACGTCTCTGTGTCTTACTCATAGCACCCCAGGAAGGGCATACTCACTTGCCATTGTTAAATATGACGGTGCAGTTGGGCCAGCAGTCATGGTTCACCAGACCCAAGTTGGGGAAGATGCCCACACCCACCGCCTGTAGCCCTCTCTGGTCGCTGAGAGTGAAGCCATTACAATTAATCTTCAAAGAAAGAAAGATAAGAGAGACTATTGTCAGACATGGACCAAGGAAAGAGCATCATACAGTCTTCCTTAGTATTTACCTCTGTGCACGTACACATGTGAGTGTGCATGTACACATGCAATGTGTGTGAAAATGTGAGTGTGTCTTCCTGTCTCTGCCCTGCTTCCCTTGCCTACCCATCCTCAACTTTTGAACAGTTCATTAAAAAAAAATAAAATCTACATTCTTTCTGTGTTACTTTGTCTTGGATGGGTAGTTTTATGTTGCCTATTACATTGCCTATTCACAACCTTTAAATCTGCTAAGAAAAATAAACTATCCCAATGATTCTGACTTAAAGCAACCCTCTAGCACAGAGTGGAACTGATCTATTGAGTTTCAAAGTCTAGAAATCTTTATAGAAGTAAACTAGCACATCTTTCTCCCAAGAAGCAACTAGTAGGTTCAAACTGTCAGCCCTTTTGTTAACAGTCAAATACTTCACTATTTGAATCATCAAACTCCACCCCCCCCC